GTAATGAAGAAAAGTAAAACAAATCTATCCGTGTTCTGTCATATGTACCAACTAAGTCAGCAGAAATACACTTCAACTCAATTTATTCTGCTTCACTTTCAATCATGGTCTGGATTGAATCTACATAGCAATCCTCATCCCCATAACCAACTTTAACTTAAAATGTTCATAAGCACGGACTTAAGAATTAAATCCAAAAGCAGAGAACTAAAATCGCAGAGACAATCTATTTGTTACTAAAAAAAGAACTACATAGACCCCATTGTCAATCTTCCTAGTGAAGAACTTCCAAAAAAATGCACTTGTCTCTGCTCTTGTTAGGTGATGAGCCAGCTATTTTCCCCTCCGACGTCTGGCTCTTTATTGTAGATGGTTGCCGTTTGGAGGCTCCTTAGGTGCTTGCTGGGATGGTTGAAATGGTGTGGCTCCCACCAAATCTCGGTGGGAAACAGGGGCTGATATATGAGACGATCCTCTCGGCTTGGGAAATTTGGGGAAGTATTGTGCAAAGTGGCCAACCTTGTTGCAGTTGTAGCAGGTTAGCAGACCTCGTTTAGGGGAATTTAAAAATGAAGTTACACACAGGTAGATTACTAGAAAATATTCTAAGGACAGCAACTCACCCCATATGGCCACTGTGTAGACTTGAGTGTCGGGCTGTTGACCAGTGGTCTGCTGGGTGGTGGTGCAGACTGAATTCTGACCCTGGCACAGGCCCTTAAAAGCGTGTTACAGTCTCTTGATGGACTTTTCCATCAAGAATATGATTGGTCACTTGCAAGTTTGACCAAATCTTCCTCAAAGTTTGATTTGCATATAAGCTTCCCCATTGGTCAAATCTTTGAAGGCTCATTGTGTAACTCTGCTAATCAGCATGATCAGCAGATTTTCTCCAAGGTTCCAACAACCTGCAACGTCCAGTTTGATGAATCTCCCAAACAATGAAAACTGACATTCTGTTCCTAAAAATACTTGGTCAAGACTGTGGGAAAGTTCCCCTAAAACAATGGACTGGATTAGCAAGTAGGATGAACATCATGCCCTCAACCATTGCATACCACAAATAGTTCCATTTGGGTTGCATAAGATGGAAAATATCTCAGGGATGAGGGAAGCAGAATAAGAAATGCAAGATAACCCACACAAAATGTACATTTTTCCATTTCCTGACATATATATCTGAACTACGGTTTGGCAAAACCCTTGGAAATGCAAGTCAGATGGAGATGGTACAGTACAGGTGTGTAGCAGCACACAACTAGGCTACGCTCATCGGACCGGACCATGGTGGGAGCTGTCCTGGGCCACCATAGTGACTAGCATAGCTGGACGGGGCCAGCGCTGGTATGTACTGACTGCACTGCCACTCAGGCCGCAATGTGATGAGTGCAATGATAGAATCACCGCACTATGTACCATTGGCTCAGCGTAGAGATTGGGGGACCAGGGCTAGTTAAAGGACAAGGGTGGCGATGGATACGGGATTGTCTCGCCTGGCAATCGGTTCGGACGTAGCGGTGATGGGCCACTATGCCTGTCACTAACACCCTAGCTAGTTTGTACCGCTCTCGCTTCGGGTTGAGCTAAGCTAGCTGGGCATTCATATGCTTACATTTCTTCGCCATAAGAATGGTTACTATCGCACTTCTCTCGGAAAGGGTCCAACCACCGCGCTACGTTAGGTTTCGCTCTTACAACAAGGGTTTGGTCTGCCGCACCTGACCGACGAGCTAGGAAAAATCTGCTCTAGTTATAGGATTCTAGAGGCTTGGGTAGGGTTGGCATCTAGAGGAATAAAATATGAGCATCGCTGAACAGCTCAATCAATGAGAATATTCCACCTCAAGGGGTCACATGACCTCCTGCTAGAGTCATGAGCAAGAATCTAAGTGTAAAAAGAATAAGAAGTCACATGTACAAAGTGTAGAGCCAAGTGCGTGAAAGTGCTCACCCGGTCATCTTTGGTGAATGACTGACAGTTACAAAGTCTGAGGTTTCTGAATATTAGCATTCCAGGGAACCTTACCACGCCCAACCACACAGCCACATGGAGGGCAATCTCTGACATGCCAAACTGAGCAGAGAAAACACAAGGACAAAGGAGTGAAGGAACACGGGATCATGCCAGAGTACAGCATGAATAACTTCATACAAAATTAGCGTCTCTGCTACATGTCCATAATGCATCAAGGAACGAGAACAAGTACAACAAGGGGGCACTAGAATTCCAAGATTTGTGGGTGCCCAACACTATTCCCCCTCGAGTTTTTACAACGTCCTCGTTGTAAATGAAGAAAATAGAGTTCTTGTTCAAAAGTTGCTAACGTTCATGAGTAATCCGTGGAAGCTGTAGAATTTACTGGCAGTATAGAGAAAATACTTAGAGTTCAGTTCATGAAGACTGCCACTGCATTTTGGGCTACCATGATAAAAGCTAGTCTAATCTACAAAACTCACGGACCTAGTGATAACACTGAAAAACAGAAGATAAAAATCATAAGCAAATTTCACTACTGTGTCGTCCTCGTAACCATGGTAGAGAATAATCATTTCAAAACAAAAGAGTCACAATTAGTCCACACAGTTGCTTTGATAATGCTGAGCTAGCTGAGCTGAACTGGCAATCCAGTGTTGACTTCCGCCTTCTTGATCTCACAGGGACATCACAGCGTGTAATGCGTGTGGGCTATGCGAGATCCCTGTATCTTGCAGGTTTACGGCGGGGGCGAGAACTTCTCTGGGTGGAGGAGTCAACAGGGGCCTCAGATATTGTCGGAGGGAGTACTGATGTGGCTTCAGCAGGCGGCTGATGCCTGGGGACATTGGTGTCTCTGGGGCCGGAATTCTCTGGGGGTTGGTTGAGAGATTGTCGGGTTTCCTTGCAGGCATGTTGGGAGTGCGATGGCATCGTGCTTACTGTACTTTGCATCAACCATGTGCATGAAATCTGAGCAGAAAGTGAATAACTCCTTCATATCACTTCAGATCTTGGGCAGTTTGGGCTTCTCCAATTTGAGGCTCCAAGACTTTTGCTGACTGGAACTGATCGGCCTTCTCTGGGTAAGCAACATGTCTCAGGATTAGCAGTGTGTGGCTCAGGGTTAGTAGACTCGCCAGTCAGAGTGGGGATCAGTTGCGGGGTTTGCCTCAAGGTTGGAAGATTGTTCAACCTCTGTATGTGGACTGGTTGCACAACTTTGCTGACACTCTTCCAGCCAAGTTTCTTCATTGTTGATTTCCTTGTCATCATCGATGTAATGGGTGTACAGTTCATGCTTCTACAGCAGATCATCATAGGCATGCTCAATTTTTAGAAGTAAATCTCTTACCTCATCAGTAGCCAAAGGACTGCCTTCTATCAGGATGTGCAAGGCCTTTCCACTGCTTGTTAGTGCTGCCTTGGCATTTCTGCGTGTCTTCTTTGCTTCCTAGGCTTGTTGCTTTGCCTGTTCCATGATGCAGACACTTTGTCAGGTCCTGTAGTTAGTCAAGTGTTGTGGATCTTCAGAAGTGCAGCAGCTCGGACTCAGAGAAGTGTTGCTTATCGTATATGGCTTATTCAGCCGTGATTATTTGATCTGAAAAGTACACGAACAACTAATGACTATTAAATGTTTGCAAAATAACTACATTTCCAAACAGGGTTTAAAGGCAGCAAATTATATTTAGCAAAATCGCGTCCAAACTGGCTTGCATACATTGACTCCTCTCAATGGCTTGTAAAACTAACATGCTCTGGTGAATTTATCAGTTCTCCAGATGTGAATAATTCTTGACAAATTAATATTTTCTACATGGAAATTATGCCAGATTTCGAAAATAGACCGGGTCTAGTAACATCACTAAATGAATCATGCTACCAGATTAAAGAAATCTACTTAAACTTTCGATCCTCTGTGAGTTTGTTTCAAGGTACATTACAAGCACTACAAACAATGACTTGATCTAAATTAAGTATCATGCAATATTTCTTCTTTAAATTCTCAAGGAATTCTTTCAATCAACTCTTAAATTTATGCAAACTTTACACTTTTAATCTGTAAAACCTGGTCACATTTTGGATAGAAAAACATAAGTAAATATATCTGACAAGCATGGTGTGGCTGTTTCTTTTAGAAACGACTGAGGGCACTCTTCAGGTTCTTATTCGGACCACTGAAACAGCGGTATTAATGTACTCAGACCCGTCACATTGAATTTCTGATGCACAAATGATCTATATTAATCACCCAAATATCAGCATCATCCAGCCAACTATGCCAGTATAATGTTTCTCATTTCAAGCTACAACGATCAAGGTTCACATAATCGATATGTATTGGGCGATTCTAAATCTGGAAGGAACTGATTTATGGTTATGCAGTAATTCTGAATTGAAATGACTGTAAATCATACTTTCTAATTGCAATCTTTGATTATATCCATAATGCCCCATTCAAACCCTACTTCACTGTTATGCAGTTGGCGTAATCCCATTACAAGCACTCTAGTTTTAACTTAACTTTTTAACTTAATCATTTTTCCTTGGTAAGAAGCTATCTAAATGAAAAAAACCGTCAAAGAAAGGATTGGTGAATCTACTGATGATGTCTAGCTATTTCATATGAAAGCCCACTGGTGCCAAGATGTATACAAGTTTAAAAAAGGGAAGTTTATTTTGTTCAAGTTTGTTTTTATGAGACACATTTTTCCAAAGTTCGTTTGTAATGGGGTATGTTTTTTCTGCTTTTAGAAACTATGCAAGGGTTAAGGGGACATGATTATGTCCTTTTTAAACAGGTGAAGTCACATTCGAAATGCTTCTGTTGGAAAATAAATCTCTTAAAACAATTCATTCCTCAAAACGCATTTCTTTACTGTTGGTTTAAAATCTTTAAAAAAAAATCTTGGTAAAATATATCTTTTGAAAGTGAATTTTGAAAAAAACAATCTTAAACAAACTGTATACATTGTTACGTGCAAGGCAACCACAGACCAGCGCACGGCAGAAGATTGAAATAAAACGTCATGAAAATTTGTTTGGCAGTCAACAAGACGACAAAATGGAATACAGATGTAGCATGCAAATAATTATATTTATTTTAAAAGAAGACATCAAACCCCAACACCTTGTTAATTAAAACTCCAACGTCAAAATTACAGTACAAGCAGAAATTAATGAAGACCAAACAATTATTCAGAACAGCAAAATGTACAATCATGCGTCAACTATAAGCAATCAGCCATTAATCAAAATAAAGCAAAAGAGGGCAAAGCATGCAACCATTGACAGGCCCAAAGAAATGCACATGCCCAAAGCAGAAGCGGGCAAAGCAAAAGATAAACAAGCCAACTTAAGTTGCATGCAAAAAGGATAAAGTTCACATACTGGTATGAAAATAAAAATGCACGGGTGCCCAACTGACAGGAACATATTGGAAAGGGAGTGCGGAATCACCCGCCAAGATGTGTCAAACAACGGAAAAAGAAACATCTATCAAGGTAGCGGTAGCACAGACATGCAACCAGCCTTCCAGCCTGTCAGCCAACTCACTGGCAGTCGACTCCTCTAGTACGACTTCGCAGACCAACGGCGGAAACTCCACTCAGGATCCCAACCCTACCCAAGCCAGTCGAGAACCCCGGGCCAACACGAACAACGCCCTTATATAACATAACTTCAACATACCAGAAATCAATGAAGCAGTTAACAATGAAGCCAAATACAAATGTAAGTATGTGGGTAAGAGTCTGGCGCATTGCAATACAAAGGGCCCTACATTCCGAAAATTCTATCCGTAACAACATCAATGGAGAGAATTATGTTTTTTTTTCATAAACTGATTTTTCTTTCACTTCATAGTACATTTTTATGTTTATCATTCCTGATTGAAACTGTCATGAAAAAGTCCCAAAATGTCTTAATCAATTTGGAAAATGCATTTATTTGCAATTGTATTGATAAGTAATTATTTTCAATCTGAATGCAGAAGACATTAAATTTTACCTGTTTAGGAAAATCTACACTAGAACAAATAAAAAAAGAACTTAATTTTTAAAAAATGTGACTTCATGTTCTACTTCATTTGTTAGGCAAGGAACATTTCCCTCGCAAATTAATAAGTAAAAATACCACTGCTTACATTTGCTTCAATGAATAAAGCTGAAGCTATAAATCAGTATTTAAGAAATGAATGTTAGGAAAAACTACTCCTAGTTTTTTTGAATGGAAAACTAACTAAGTTTTATATTTTATATTTTTAGACAGCAAGAGAACATAATTAATTAATCAAAGTGCACTGACTTTATGTCATTAAAACTGCTTTAAATCTAAGGCTGAAAATGTCACATTTTTATATTCATGGATGGTGGTCATGGACGTGATGTCTTGGTATGAGGAATTCAGTTTAAGGATGGCGGGGTGTGACCTGCAGATGAATGCCATTTCTGCCTCGCAGAACCAGCGCATTGATTCGCTGCACTGGGATGGTCTCATCGACGGACAGGTGAAAGTTGTGAAGGACTGTGGCAGATATGATCTTCAATTCATTCATGGCAAAGTGCTGACCGATACAATTCCTGGCAGGAAATGAAAAAAACATATAAAGGATCAGGATTGAGAGAAGAGGATAACCTATTAGTCATCCAAGCCGGAACAGGGTTGAGTTACCAAAGAGACAGAATCTACAAAAATTTCATTTAATTTGAGTATTTTGTGTTCTCGGGAAGAACATTTTGGTGCAACATATTAATATCAACACATTGTGGACAATTTAAATCATAATTATTAGGTTGGTGATAAAGTGTGAATCATGTCCATGTACTAAGGCTGTGTTGATTGAGTATTTCATACAAGTAGAAATTTGAATCCCAGACCACAAATCCTGGTAGGTGTGCATAAAATAAATACATGTACACAAATATTTAAAAAAGTCCTCATAAATGAAGGGAAAGAGAAATGTTGTGTGAACTCATACATGTCCAAACAGGGTTTCCACCCTTAAAAAATGTTCAGAGGCATTTTGGGGTCAGGGTTACCTGTTGTAAAATGATGAGGAATAATTCATGCAATCATGAAAAATCCAGCTTGAAAGGGTTATCATAGTGGGAGAAAAAGGAGCATTTTCCCAGAGTTTACCAACACCACCAGAATAAAATAATGTCCACATTAACAAACACCCAAGTAGTGCAACAAGTGTTTGAACTACCTCCCTGTAACTGGTACAGGAAATCATGACTGGTTTTAATATATGTCCTCCAGTGTGAACAAGTCAGATGAGAGTGTATGAGCCAATGTAATTGGGCATGGTGGACAGTCCTCTCTCACCTTGGTCCGGCCGCAAAGGGCACATATGCAAAGGGAGGAATGTTCTTTGCCCGCTCTGGTGAAAACCTCTCTGGGTCAAAGGTCTCGGGGTCATCCCACACATGCGGGTTATTGTGTAGATCACTGATTACGATGGTTATAGTGGTTCCTGAAAGGTCATGATTAGAAGAAACATATAAATCTAGACAGACCCATTATTGAAAATTATTCAAATGTACTCTTAAAATAAATTATCATTGACCCTTAATTGACAACAAAACAAACAGTGAAATTTGACAAGGCAAGCAAATTACAAGAGAGTTCACATCTGAGACATTTCTAACTAATCCTCCTTGTCAAAATGTTTTCTATTATTCTCCCAGGCTACTCAAATTTCCAGCAAGGTGAATTTAATACCCAACTGGCACCTTCTCTACATCAGCACTTAGCTGCAATATGAATTGCTTCCATGGATTCGCGAATTTTGTTTGTCATTGCACATGAAAGAGTAAATGCAGTGCTTCATTTTGATGCATCAGTCGGTTTAATTTGTTGTCAAGATGAGACCAACATTGCAGACATTTCCAAGTTCAACATGGGCAAGCCTGCAGGAATGGGACAAACTGTGAGTACTGCTAACACTCACCTTTCGGCAACGTCCTGCCATCAGGAAAGGTCAAAGGTCGGGTCAATGTTCGCATGATCTTGGGGACGGGAGAATGTACACGCAGGCTCTCCTTCAGACACTTGGTCAGGTAGGGCATACTACTGAGATCATCCCTAGAAAACAAAAAATCAAGCACTTCTGTTTTTCCGAAAAAATTAATCATTTCTTCTTTTCCATGCAATTACAAAAATTCCACTTAATTGGCTGGTCAGGCAGGGAGCACTGAAATGTAATAAAACTGGAAAAACTTCCTTGTTTGAATGTAAATTGTAGTTTAGGTTCCAGTCCCGTAATTTGGAACTAGTTCCAAAATACTAACAGTCAACTGCTCAGGTTTCCAGTTCAGAGGCAAAGCCCCAACTGTAACCATCTACAAGAAGGGTATTGTCTTATCCCCTTTAAATATCATTGAAATAATGATTGTTTATGTGTGCAATTCAAGGACCATTGCTGTTGTAGATGTGTACAGATTAACCGCACATGAGCATAGTGGTCATTATTTGTTTATTGTAACTGATGAAACTCTTTGAATATGCTCATGCTCAGTTTACACATCAGAGATGACTGGAGAAGTTGAGAGAGTTAGCTGGACAAAGAATACTCTGACCTGTTCCACTATGGCAGCTTTCAGTTGTTAACTTTATTTGTCTATTAGTCATACACCAGAAATCAGAACAATGACAGTAACTGCACAATGGGATGAAATAAATGTACTATTCATGAGGTGAGGTTGAGTCGAACATTCAGCATATCACTAAATTCCTCCCCCACATCCTGGTGATACTTACCCCTGCCCAGCCTACATATGCAAAATTCCCATGTGCCTATTACAATTCGCTGAGAAGACTTGATTATGCATACTGCCCCTTGACCCTCCACAATGCACTGTGACCCTGCCACCATGTTCGTCCTTCTTTTTGAAGCGGAGAAAACCCGCAGAGCCGAAGTGGGGAAGGACGGGCGGGAGTAGCAGGGGCAGGGGTAATTATCACTAGGAGACCCGACACACTCATGTGGGGGAGGAGTCTCCTGTGTTCACATACCCCTGCCCAGCCTACATATACAGAGTGGCACTGTACCCTGGAGATGGGTCGGCAACAGGAGTGCAGTTACTAAAAGAACATAGGTGGGCATCACTCAAGTGAACACTCACCAGAAGAAAGAAATGTCTATGATGAAGTATTCACCGTCCAGCCCGGGACAGTGCTGGGCATTGTCCGGACTGCTGAGCGCAAGGTTGCTGAGCCACGGGCTGTTTCGCTCTGCGGAACATCCCTCAGATAGCACTCAGTAAAGGTGGAGGGGGATCTCCAGCAAGCCCCCTGGCAGATTTCCGCTGGAGGAACTCCTTTGAAGTATGACCAGGATGCGGAAGCAGCCCAAACACCGAGGGCCATGATGTGAGATCAGGTTGTCTCATCATGTTGTACCCGCCAGTCTTGGTTGGCAAAGATAATGGCCGAGACGGTCCATTGGGCATTTGTGTCCTTTGACGCTGGATGCAAGGGTTTTGTCGTAGTGATTAAGAGCCGGGAACTCAGCGATGCTTGGTCCTGGCAAGGTACCAGTTAAGAGTGCGACCAGGACTATATCTTTCAGAGCTATCTCCCGAAAGTTAGAATATGTCAGGAACGAATATGTCAGGAGGCCGGAAGGTACGCGTCTTGTTTTTCGTCAAAAACTCAATGGCTTTCATAAGGTGAACCCCATGCAGCTCCCAGCGGATGTGACCTTTGGCAATCTCTAGAGTATGCAGTTCGCTATCGCGTCTGCTGAGATGGATATCTGATGTATCAGAAAGCGGCTTGAAGGGGGACCGGCGAGAAAGCGTAAAACACTTCCAAGATCCTAGGATAGAATGAGGCATTTGACATGAGGTCGCTTGACAAACATTCCTCGAAGAAAATGGTGAATGGCAGCATTATCAGAGACTGTCGATCCATCGCTGAAGCCTGAATGAACGGCTGCCAAGGCCGACCGGTAGTTGCGGATGGTGGCAATCTGGAGGCCTGAGTGGAACAGATACATGAAAAAAGTCAGGGAACTCACAGGAGCTTCAGTCGGAGAAACATCATGGTCGTCACACCATCTAGTAAAATGTTGTAGTCGGCTGTTGTAGATTTTGCGAGTGGACAGTCGTCGATCCTAGGCCACCATGGACGCAGCGTCCGCAGAAAGGCTCTGAAGGATCGTTGGACAATGTCCAGCACATCAAGTGCAGACCCCCGGTGTTGGATGGAGGACCCCTGACTTAGGTTGACAAAAAATGTCCTCCCTGGGCAGAAGAACCAGTGGCCGTTGTACCAGGAGTCTTGTCAGTCTTGGAAACCACAGCTGGCAAGGCCAGAACGGGGCGATGAGGAGGACCCGACATGGCTCTCGTTCTATCTTGGACAGGACATGCAGGATATTGAAGGAAAGGCATACGCCAGAAAGCCCGACCAGTCGAACTGTAGGGCACCTGTCTCCCATGTCCGTGGGTGAGGGAACCTGGAGCAGAACTTCGGGAGATGGGTTTTGTCGGTGGTAGTGAAGAGGTCAATATGGGGACACTCGATCTTGAGGTACGAAGGGGAGGCCAGCCAAGGGTGCTCAGTGATGGTCCGACACTGCAGGTGATTGCGTAGGAAGGTCAGCCCACATGTAAATGGAAGCTGAGGTATTCATATGAGAAAGGATAGTGAGCGCTGTTACACTGTACTATGTTCAATGTGGCCATATGTATCCTGAAGTTGGAGGACTACGGCCATATCATTACATACACTGGGAATTAAGATCATTCCATATGCATTGCAAGAATAGAGAAACTGCAGGTAAGGAGCTTCAAAGATGGAAGACCGCTTCTAAGCATTAAAACATTTCCATTTACTCGCTGGAATAGAGATCGCAAGTGGATAAACAATGAAATCAACAAATACTTGCCAAGTCTGCCTTTCTGTTTCGATTACGGGGGGCGCAGTCAGAAAAGGCAACCGTGGCACGCTGTTAACAACAGTGGGCACGGACAGTAGGCACACTTTTGTGAGACCTCGTAACAATTACAGTATATAAACTTTGGACACACCCACTGCGGAAGAACTCCTGTCTGGAAGGCAATGTGGGGCGTAGCAGGCCGAGCGGGAGAATGTATGGAGAATCGGGAATTATTAGACAGCAAGCATGTAGTATTCACGACGATGTGAAATTTGGAAAATTAGGATGGTCAAGGCGTGGACACTGAATTGAATGGCGTGATCATCGGGGGGGGGCCTGTTCGGAGATCATAGTTGATTTTTACACGCCTGAGTGCCTCCGATGACGAAGTTTCAGACATCGGAGGGCTCGATTGGTCTACAGGTAGGGCGATGACATCTACTGCAGGCATTAATGAACAGAAGACCTATGGACAGAATAAAACATCCACGGTAAGAAGATTGTATCACGTTTTATTCACCGGGACAGCTCCATAAAGAGGTGAAGCCATTTCTCTATTCCCCACCTAGCTGACCCCTAGCACGGGAGTCTCGGATGCTAGCCAGCGGTTTGATGCGTGATGTGTGACCCAGACTCACAATCACCAGGGGCTCCACGAGCAAATGACGTAAGGCGGCCCAGTAGAGTGTACATGTAGTTCCTGCACGCCTGGATGCCCCAAAAACTGGACAGATCAAGGCAGAGGCGTAGGGGCGGAGCTAAACGTGAGTGTAAGTAGAACCCGGTTCAGTTGAAGAATTATTACAATTATTACTATTGCATATTACTATATCACCTCAAATCTTGTCCGGGAAAAGTTGAAAATAAGCTGGGGAAGAGTGTTGCGGTGGAATGTTGAAGGCTGCTGAAAATTTCCCACTATCTCCAAGAGATGAAGCTATCAGTATTTGTATACACATTCTCCCCCCACTCTGCGGTTTTGGCCAGGCAGGCTACTCAAGGACACCAGTGGTTTTGATGACAGAAGAGCCACAGGTAAAGGACTGCACTCCTTACACAGAGCTTTTTGAAATTTCTCTAACTGTATCATTTAGAATAAATATACGTTGACCCTTTCATAAAATACAAAGCTTCTTCAGTTTTTTTTTCTCCTGCACTCAAAATTCCTCCACAACTTCCCCTCAATAATTCGCTCTCCCTACAATTACTGCAACTTGTCCCGGATGAGATTTGAGATGACTCCTAAGTGCAAATTCAATTAAAAAATACATGTGTAAACGGGCACCATCGTGTATTAGACAGACCGACGGGGAAGGATGTGAAGCCGGAGATGAAAGTGGATCTGAAGTCAGACGCGGAGTCAGTAACAAATCCGGGTGAAAATCCAGAAGGAGATCCTCACATAGGGCATCTGGACCTGGGGCAGTCGCCGGAGGAGTAAAGAGATTGACTTAAGGTGGCTGGCCGAAGTGGAAAGCGTCTCCAAGAGAGCAGACTGCCGTCATCAAACCCAATGAAGAAATATCTTGCCTTGGTGTAGAGCAGGATTTCTTGCATTTACGCCTCTTATGTGCGGTGATCCGGTCGTAGAACCCGAAGGAAGAACCTAAAAACCTGGAACATCAGCAGCATGGCTGGAATGCAGGTCGTGATAGGTCAAAGCGCACTGAGCCGCCGGGGAGCAAAGACGGAAACACCCTCGTCAGATAGCCCTAGCTAGTAGGCGGGAGCCGCAGTGTTGAGTAGCTTTCGAGAACTATGGCGATAATGCAGTTCTGTAGCATGAAAAGTGGTCGGTGAAGACCCACAAAGTTAGGTGGTGCCTCTGAATGGGCTGCCTCCCGAAGACAATGGGCCATCAGCCCGAGGCATTGTAACTTCCAAGTCATGCCTAAGTGAACTGCTGAGAAGTTCCTCTGACAGCTGTAGTTCATGGCCTGTGGTGATCGTTGTAGCTGGCCCAGGAGGCATGGGGCATTCCCGGTGTGTAGGCTGGTGAGGCATACAATGAATACACAACTTCCACGGTAGGCGATGGTAGTAGGGAGACCGCCAGAGGACTTTAGAGAACTGGGGGTGAATGTCAAATGCCAAGACCTGGCTAACAGGGGAGTAAGTTTACTCACCCCAATTGCTGTGCCAACGGACAGAGCCACCATGATCCGGGACATGATCTGGAGCCGGGTCCCGCCAGACTTTTCAGCGAATTGTAATGGGAAATTTGCTCATGTAGGCTGGGCAGGGGTATTCGAATGCAAGAGACCACATTTTTCTGCTGCATAAAATGGAGAACATTCATGATTTGTTTCATGAAGTGTTTGAGTAAATCCTGTTTGCATAAAAGTTGCCATTTTATTTTCTAGGCTTGGTGTAAAAGAGTGCCAGAAAGTTTTCCTGCACTCCAAGCCAGGACTGAAATTTTGTCTGAGTGAAGAGCTGTTACTGCACTTTTCCCTGTGCACACATGGTAAATGATTCATTGCCCACGAAGAGCCCATCACATGTTTGCACTGGACTTTTTTCTTGATGGTTATACTGAGCCAACGGTTAAAAAAAAGGATCAAATATGCACTTGGACCTTCGACACGGGAACCTTTTACCGAGACCGTGAGAGAAGTAACCTAGCTGTCAGTGCAATGACTTATGACTTATGCACAACCTTTTTCCATTTATTTCCATGATAAGACAAAATGCTACCATCCTCGTCATCTGGAAATGGTGCACGGCATTACACCAGTTAATCTTCCAACTGCATCAATAATTTCTCCCATGACTTGGACAAAAAGAGGAACAAATTTACTGGTAATATTCACCACATACCACATCTGTATGAAGCATGCAGTTGTAGGATTGGATGTACATGTACACCCTACTGGGCCACTTTCCCATGCTTTTACTGACTTGTGCTGTCGGCACCAGACTTTCCATCTTAGGAAAGGTGACTCAGGAACTTTTCCTAGGCAGATGTTGGCTGGTAACATGGCTCAGTAAAAGTAACCAAGAGGTAAACCTCATGGGATGTCCACACTGGACTTTAAGAGAGAAAACTAACCATTGTCTTGGCAAGATGGACCAAAAACAGTCCAGTGCATACAGGGCTATAGTTAATGAAGTACATTTTTTTAACAGTCAATCCCGGACTGTGCATAATGACACTGAATTACTGAAGTAGCGTCTGATGCAGTCTTAACAGAGAAGTGTCCTCAGCAAAATTGTTAAAGAGTATTTACAGTGCGTGTCGCGCAAAAAGATCCACTGACTTAAAAAAAACACAGCAAATTCTACCAAACAGCAGTATACCAAGCAAGGGAAAAGAGCACATGATCAATGATGTGGATAAAAATTAAGAGGTGATGATTTTACTAACAGCAATGGGAACAACAAATTTAGTGATTGGAATAGAGCAAAATAAAGGAAAACTTGATGTTCTGTACGATCCACATAAATACAGTCAAATAAACATCTAAACAGGTTGGTAAAATCTGCACTTAAGTAGCGTAGTGGGCTACCCATGGCGGAAGGCTTGGTCAATGGCACTTGACTGACAAACCCTCCATTCAGATGACTGGCATTTATTCAGGTGTTGTTCAAATCAACATATTCTTGTCAAACTCAGCCAAGCTTTACTCACCATTCCAGCCGGTCATCTTCTCTGTCTACTAAGAGGTCATCGATTTCCTCTTGGCACTTCTGCTGGAATTCTGGCAGCCGGGCCATGTCGTACAGGAACCAAGACAAGCCTGATGCTGTCGTGTCATGCCCTTCAAACATGAATGTGTCCACTTCATCATAGATTTCCTGGTCAGTTAGTCCTTGACCGTCACTGTCCTTGTGGAAGAAAATATTGTGTCCTGCCAACTTGTTCAAAACAACTGCCAAACCAATTTGCTCCGTGTGAGAACAAGAGATGGGATGCTTCAAAGGGCAAAAAAGGTCCTTTCAAGGGAACTCATTGCATGCGTGTTCCTATGTGTAGCCAATTTCTGTTGAACTGAATGGTCTGTGTGTATGCACCATACAAGTGAACAATCACAGTTGGATATTACTTTCCACTAGCCTGTCTTCTTCTGCACTTGTGAGGGAGTGCTTAAAATTGGGGCAGATAAAGAAACTGGCCAGGTGTTTACAAGATAATAATTACAGCAGTACAGAAATTTACTGGAGAAGAAAGATCAAAGGAGTGGGAGAAGAACTTAGGTTTCTTAGTCCACACAGACAATGCCAATCAAGAACTTACTGCAGCATACCAGTAATTAATGTTACGCCAGCTTGAACACGTTCTGTGTGAGTGAGCTGGCATATGGCTGCACCAATTGGATTGACTTCACGTGTCTATCAATGGACCCAAATGAATTACCAGATATTATATATCTTTCATGCACTCTTGGAATACAGGATGGGCTTATTACGGGAAAAAGATGTCTGGGCTGCTACTGCTGTGCTAGCTTGGAAAGCTGCACTAATGACCAAAACCTGACGACCCAAGACTGTGTGAGTTTGCAGCGTAGGCCCCCTACAGCACGTTGAGGGTTGAAGCCAAGGCAGGTGGACTATAAGTGGCTGTCTGTGATAACTGCTACGAAAGTAATAATGGCAGGTGTCAGTCTTAAGAGGCACAAGATTTTAGCTTCAAGTTCCTTCCCCTTGGTTCTGCATCTGTCACCTTCTTTACAAAATGGGGCCATTTAGCACCAATCCCGTATCCCATCCCAAAAGAACTGTCTTGCTTACTTTAGCGCAAAGCAGAATGTCCAAGAAGTCGATGTATTTCCTGTGTCTTGTTTGCCCCTTGGCAGCCTCTTCTTTCAGTGCATTCTTTCGCTTCTGGATGATATCCCGCGAGTAGTTATGGACTGTATTGCAGGCTTTGCGGAAGCGTCGCCCACTGGGACTCCACTCGAAGATTGTGTCAATGTGGAAAGGAAGGGAATGAAAACGTTCCATAGCCAGGATGGAGATGTCATAGATGCCCTTGATGTAGGGGTGATTTTCAACCCTGAAACATGAAACACAACAAAAGGTTTCAGGTGATAAGGGGGCACTAAACCTCACCCTGTGGCCCAGGTTTGGATTCTGACCCAGGCAAAAACAATTTCTCAGTCATTGTCTATGTCACACAGCACCGATTGTGCCATTGCACTTCAGAGAGATCTCTTCAAATGCACAGAAACTATGGGTTAGCAGTTGGCACTGACCATCTCATTGTGTTCATGGATAATATTTTTGCTGCTTGTCTGTTCAAGACCACTTACGTTTGGCAATTGGTCTCCACACTGAATATACACCTGAGGAGGCTGTCCAATGTCAGCAGGCTCATGTTACTGAACATCTCCATTGAAGTCTTCTTACCACCACAGGCTGCTTTCCACTTCTCCTGTGTTCATCAAAGCCAAAGGGAAAAAATAGTTGAGAAGACACCAAGTTGATATTAATCTTACCAGGCACAAAAAAACCTTGCATGTTTTGACTGTTTTGCATACAAAATGTAAATGTGTGCATGCTGTTAAGGAGTGGCATTATACGGCCACCGTATCCCCATTGTATGCTGTTGTTATTGGCCAGTAATAAACCACATCAGTTCCGTGAATGCTATTGTCATGCTGTCTTTAGAACATGGTGTCAGAAATTAGCTGAATCTAGCACCACTGCCACAAAAGCCATGCCTACTTCTTGGCAGTTTTGACGAGCGGATCATCAGACATCCATCTGTAGTACAGACCGATTCTATCACACACGGTAAGCTGTGTCAGTGACCGATAAAAAACACTTCGCATGTAGCATTCACTATTATTGTGAACGTGCATTGCGCTGTACACGTGTGTCTAATAGACTGTGCATGTACATTGCATGCACGCTGAATTTCCGGCCTAAACAAGGAGTGTCTCGCTGGAAATTACAGAGGCCTGTAGTGGGCTCCTAACAGTCCATTGTACTCACACTACATGCTACCCATGGCGTACTCGCTCATTCCCCCACCCGCCAAAATGGACATGAAAGGAGACCAGGTCTCCAACTGGCAGTTCTTCAAAGCAAGTTGGCAGAACTATTTGGTAGCCACAGAACTAGACAAGAAAGATTCGTCCATCCAAGTGGCCACCTTATTGATCATCATGGGAAAGGAGTGCTATGAAGTGTATCAAAATCTCCCACTGACCAGCAGAGAAAGTCACCACAACAAATCCTGATCAGCCTTGGAGCCCATGCAGAGAATCAAGCAGGCAACATCCACTGACCAAGTCCTACAAACACTGATGCAGGTCATCCAAGTATGGTGGCCAGGGGACAAGGCTCAAGTTCCTTTGTGCATCAGAGAGTACTGGCCATACAGAGATGAACTGGCAACACAAAATGGACTCATCTTTCGAGGAGCCTGTATAATAATACCAACAGCCCTGCGTACAGACATGACAGCAAGAGCACATACATTTCACATGGGAGTCCAGTACACAGCCAACATGGCATGAGACATAATGAACTGGGTCAGTCATATGCACACAGAACTGGTGGACGCTATCCAACGATGTGCCATCTGCCAGGAGTCCCAATCCCTGGCAGCTCTCCAGAAGGAACCCCTCTTGACATACCCAGTTGCGAGTGACTGCAATGAAGTCAATGGACAAAACTACTGTGTTCTAGTAGACCTGTACTCAGACTTCATCGACATGCGCATCCTTGAAGATATGACTTCCACATCACTAATCAAGGAACTGAAGCCAGCGTTTCCCACTAATGGCATTCCTTATACTCTAATCACTGAGGATAACAGTGACATGTGGAAGGCTATCCTTGAGTAGAGGAACATCACTACACTGGAAATGTCTAATTCCCCAGTACAGCACTTAATGTCTCAACGAACACACTCGCTCATCCTTTGCAAGGACACACAATACAGACCCCGGTGCGTAGAGGCTGTGTCCGAGCGAGTCGTGACCAAGAGACAGAAGGCCAAACTGTACCATGACTGCACAGCCAAAAGCCTCCCTGAGCTCGTTGTCCAACAGCCAGAACGCGCCAAGACCCGACCCAAGGTAGAGAACTCTCCATGGACACCAGTAATAATCAAAGCCAAAAATCGCCCCACAAAGTTACCTCCACAAAGTTGGTAGCAAATGTTACAGACGCAATTGCATACACCTTAGACTCAGTCGAAAGCACGCAAAAGCATCTACAACACCTGTCACATGTGTGAGTTGGTCTCAGCTTACAACACGACCAGCTAGCAGTGAGTCAGCCAGCCCAAGTGATTCCAGTCCAGTGGCCAAGGTACCAGATGTGTCTTTTTCTTCAACAGACAAATCTGCAGGACTGAACTCTAGCACTACTATTTCCAGATCTGGTCACATTTCCAGACCACCAAAAAGACTCACTGAATCGTAACTTTTATGTGAAGCTGCTCCTGAACAACACCCCAATGTTTAAGACCAAGACTTAAATTAGCAAGACTTCTTACCTGCAGTTTACGCTTCAAAATCGGTCGTGTTTAAGTTGTTACTCGAGTGTAAATTTTATCAAGTTCTTTTTAAGGTTTATGGCCATTCTAAAAAAATTTAAAATAAACAACACTTAGTTTTGAAGCGTTCATAGTTTGTTGATTAATTCATGCTGGCTTAGTATTCATGACCACCACTGTAGCAGACCACAAACACAGTCTGGCATGATAATTCAGCAAGAACTTAGCAGCAATTGCTCCTCAACCTTAAGGAAGGAGGATGTTATGGAGTGGCATTATGCGGCCACCGTATCCCTGTTGTACACCATTGTTATGGGACGGTAATAAACCACTTTCAGTGAATGCTGTAGAGTCCTGCTGCCTTTAGAACACATGCCATATGACCCACAAATATCAAACCAGTGAAATGGCCAAAATATGAGGGTGGCACATTTACACCTCTGCTGGTGCAAAGTGATTGAATATGGTGGCCAGCTCACCACAAGTATGTTGCCAGACTGTTGAAAGATGTCCACATACGGCTTCAAAATGTCAAAGTGGAAGCCAGGTGTCAGTAAGCGTCTATTCCTTGCCCATTTCTTCCCAGCTGATACAAGCAGCCCATCTCCAATCCAGGGACGTATAAAAGAGTATGTGAATTCCGCCTTTGGTTCTAAGATAAACAGAAAAAAAACCAAAGCGATTCAAATATGAATACTGACGTTTTTTAAGAGCAAGGGTTCAGGTCTGTGCTCATTTCCAAAAATGAACACGTACAGAAGTGTTCAAATGAACAGACATAAGACATAAAGGTCATGACTTGATGACTTCCAATTCTGCCCATTCTGTATATCAAATGGTTAATTTGTCTAACAGTAATAGTTTAAGATGGGTTTACACTTGGCACTAAAGCAAACATGAACGTGAAATGGTGATGTCCCGTCACACATGAATGCTGTATATTCCCCATGCTGGAGATGGTTCGTAATGTCAAAATTGCTCAGCTTTTCAAACTCGCCAGATGTCTGACTCTGCCTTTTAAGGCAAAAATGATATTGAAAGAGATCCATGGTTGCATCACTATTAAAGTGACACACATGTATACCTCTTCAACCTGTTGCACCAAGAACCAACGCATTCTATGTGTGAAAGTGCGAGCTTGATTTTTTAGTTTGTTGTGCCCAGAAATGACACATAATCAACTAATTTAGCCTGCCATCTGATGAAAAACATACAACCAACCTCCTGTGCTGAGGACAGCTTTGACCGTGTCAGGATGGTACACGCTAATGATTGGAGTAATAGGTCCAGCCCATGAGACCGATGCAGTGACACATTTCTTCACAACCTCCCTTTTCCACTCGAATTCCTTCTCATCACCAGTGAACTATGTGTGACAAATGACAACAGTTTACAAAACATAACAAACAACACTGCCAGTTCCATCTTTCACTGAGGTGGCATTATATATGCCTGATTTATGATTACTGGAACACAACTGAGGATGGAACGTAAGTTGTCACAAGGAGTAAATGAACTGTCATTTAAAATGTTGGTTGTGGCTTCTTGGGAACAAGAACTTTTCAGAGTAAGTCGAAGTTACTCAGCCTATCTTTTGCAATTTTATATCTTACACAAAGCTTGCCAATGGTAAACCCATTATAAAAATCATCAACACAAAACAGAATTCCATCAGTGGTCGTCCGCAATAATTGATGACATATCATGTGCACTTTATGAATGATACGCATGCACACCAACACTGCCGACAATACCTTGGAAAGACTGCCAAAGAGCCAGTGCCTTTCGGGGTCAGACGGAAATGCCGCAAGCTTTTTCTCCACCTTCCATTTCTGGATGAAGAGGACCACCAAGGCCACAATGCTGGACGTGATGCAAAGTGTGGCAACCGTCGCACAGAGACTCACTAAGGATTCACTGAAGGCCATCGTCATACAGAAATCAGCAGTCTCAACACAACACTGGTCTGCGTGAGCCTGAAACAATAGAAATTCGATTTCAGGCTTGAGAAGCATTGCCAAAAAGAAGCCCACTGCTGACAGCTTGACTATGACACTGTGGCTCTCAACAAATTCTTGACAATGCTTCTCCTAAGTACTGTCCACATACATGTACAATTTTTACAAGCATGGGTAAACACAATTAAATTCATGTTTTTTACCTTCATCATGGTGTTTGACAGCATCACCTAATTCAATAGTACGAATCTCTTGGCCAAAATACTTATCTGTAAACAGCTCACAATGAATGGTTAGGCTACTTTTGTTTGTACAGAGTCTGTACAACCTCTATGACTACCGAATGCTCCCACTACTTGAAATAACATTCGGAGCATTCACAAAGTCAACTTCCTAATCTGTGATAGCTAATTGCGCCTTCCCAATGGAGGAATATTTGGAACTTGAGTGTGGAAACAGGGTGTTCAGTGAGGTTCATTTCAGAAAAAGTCAGACACCTACACTGTTTCCCAATGAAAGAAAATTAAAAATGTTAGGATGCCAAATTCTCCAAACATTTCCCTTCTACCTCGAACTTTGAGACTCAAAGACTTAGAAAATCATTGGCATAATTATCAATTCTAATGATGTTCAATCCGACAAGATTTCAAATAAAATTTGGAAAGCTCACTAATGTTCACTGATCCTGAAAAATTAAATAAAATTTGGAAATTTCACTTATGTTCACTAATCCTGAAAAGTTACATATGAAACACATGCAGAAAAAGAATACCTACGTGTAGTGAATGAAGCTGCAACCAATCTGCTGCCAAAATGATAGAGTGCGTCAACACTGGGGAGCTGTGTTTTACTTGCTTCGTCTGAAGCACTGTCTGCACTCATAGGCCTATTTATACTACAGCTGCCAACTCCCAGGCCCCGACCTACAATCATGACTCTGGGCCAAGACAGAGAAAATTTGAGTTTACCGTCCACCGTCCATCGCCTGTATGCTTTCAAAGCCAATGCACCTGCCAGAGTTTATTAACAATTTTTAAATAAATAAGTAAAAATGTCTTTTGCAAAATGCTTTCAAAAGCTCTAAAAAATGGCCCAGCTACTTTTTACTGATCTTTCCACATATAACCATCTCCTACAGAACAAAAGTTAAAGTCTTTCATAGAGCAATCAGAGTGGTATGCCCCTTTAAAGGAGTAGTCTTTCATGGTTCATAATAAACGATACATGCCATTAACTAGGTAAAGTGTAACCCCAGGCTTGTAAATAGACAACCAAAGGCCCAATTATGACCTTTGGCAACACACTGATATGGAATTTCTCAAATGTGCAGACATATTTTGAGGACGGAAAGTTCAGGTAGTGGCTGTTATCATGCACTGCTGCCGAAAGTGTCGACATTTCTTTTTGGCACTTGGTATTTATGCAGCTGTCAGACACATGACTACCTATCGGCAAATGACTTGAATACCATGATGCCATGGATGCCGTCAGCTTATTGCAGACATCACAGATGTGAAACTGTCTGTTGCTTGCACTGGACGGTGGTAAAGAAGTGGTCTTCCTACTTCCTATGGATTACTCAGCAGCCTTTGACACTTGGACATGACATTCTATTCGAGCGACTTGAGGAAAGGTTTGGGCCTCTGAGACAAGGCATTAGTTTTGTCGTCAATCAGTTATCACCGGAGACCAAATATTAACCAGTTTTTCCCTTAAACGAGGCGTTCCTCTCGGATCGGCAAGAGGACCCACTTTATTCAACTTATATTCTTCACCACTGGAGGGCATCATGCCACAAATGCAGATGACACCAAATTATATACAATTCTGGAATGTGATCACCGCAATGTCATCGCAAACCTATGGATTGAAACTGAATGAGATTAAAATGCTTCACATACCGGTATCACCCATTCAGAAACAAAATGAACCTTCCACTCATCGTCTTGATAATTCATCTTTTCAGCTAGTTCAAAAAGTTTGGAACCTTGGGGTTTGCTTGGATCAATATCTATGGGAGACAACATCGATAACATATGCTGTGCCCCTCGTTCTATCAGTTTACACAAAGTAGGACAAATAGACAATTTTTGGATCAACCTACAACAGAAAGATTGATCCATGCGTTCGTGAAAAGTCGCATGGACAACTGCAATAGCCTTCTTCATCACGGATCACTGGATCTTCAACTCAATAAACATCAAATAATACAAAAACTCAGCTGCTGGGATGATCAATAGAACACACTTACATGAATCCATCTCTCCAGTTTTACGACAGCTTCATTGGTTACCAGTTTAATTCCAGATAACTTTAACATTTTGGTCTTGATCTACAAATGCATACACGAAACGCCTCAGTTTTTCTCCAAGAGCTGATCAGCAAATATCATCTGCCAAGGACTCTTCACTCCAGCAACAAATTTAAAGATCTTCTCACTCCACATTCTGTTCTTACCAAATCAAATGGTAAACGGCAATTTGCTGCACCTGGAACTATGGAAATATCTCCAACAGCACATAGTAGTACAAATCTGTCTGTCCATGGAACAATTTAAACTTTAACTTAAAAACACACCTGTTTACACTCTCCAGTGCACAGAGACTTCATTTTATTGTGGGCTTAAAAGCTTTGTTTTTCTACTTCTTTTTCGTTTTTGGAGCAGAAGTCTTTTGGGAAAAACTGAATGCATAATTAATCAAATATCTACAACTTCTGAAATATGAAACTACATATAGTCTTTGTCCAGTTTCATCAAGTTTAGAACTAGAAAATAATTCCAAAGAAGTAAAGAACCTAAAAAGCTGTGTGAAAATTTAGGATTTGAACTCAGTGATTGCGTGCACAAGCAAGTTAAACTGTTTCAATTTTCATTGGATAGAGTTGTTACTTAATTGAAATAATAAGTGCACATCCCAACTGAAGTTATTCCTTGTTACATGGTAATCATGGACATGGCATGGAACACTCCAAGAATGTGGCCCGGAGGCACTTTTTTTTTTTTTTTACTTTTTTCATCACAATATAGGTAAGTTGTGGAAACTTGAATGAACGCTACAATAGTGGCTGTGAAGAATATTCTTTTTAAAGGGATATATGCCTAAAGTCTGACATTTCAACAACAGCGGAAGCTTCAATGAGGCATGAAGACTAGTGACCTCTCCAATGAGGCATGAAGACTAGTGACCTCTCAAGACCGGCAATAAAACCTTTTTCCTTTTGGAAAGTGCATGGTGTACATGTAGTATCCCCAAGACAAGTGTGTAATAAACACATAAGCTGCCAGGAAATTTGCCTTGTGTATTCTGGACATGGCATAAGGAGCCCCTTGCACACACCCCTGGCACTGTGGCATAAAAAAAAGGATGATGATAAAAAAAGTCACAAGAGTTTTCAAAAATGTATCGTACAATAAACTCATTACAGATTTCACTTGGCTCAGTAAGCAGTAGGTCCTTACAATTCCAAAGTTCCTGATACCACAATTACCACGACCTGGGAAATGATTCACATTTAAGTGGCAGACCACCCTGAAATGGCTACACATTCACGGTTTGAGCTACAGGAATCTTAGTTAATATTGCCACACAGTTATGAAGGTGTAATGCAGAACTGCATGTTGTTTGTCTACAGCTAATGAGGCTTGCTCAGTGTAGGCAGACCTGGGGGAGGGGGGAAAATGGGACATGTTGCCAATCTCTTTTAAAACCAATTAAAACTGCCAACTCAGAAATGGAACTATACCACCCTTCTTTCGAGGGGGGGGCATGATTGGATTTCTTTCAGAAAAAGTCCCAATTTTGCTCCTCCCCCAATCATGTACATGCATACCACTGAACACCTGCCCATTTGTCAACACAATGAGCATACTGTTCTTTGTATGAACATGTTTAATTTGTTGTGATTGGTATTACAACAACTAGCACTCCAACCACTCTCAACGCCTTGAAAATCACCTGTTCAATAATCACATAAAAAGCCATACTTTTTGCTCCATTTCCATTATTACAACCATGTTGTACAATCTTCAAAGGGAGCAAGCAGAGTGGTGTGCTTCTTTAAATGAGTAGCTGTCAGGGGTACAGTTCATACCATGAACTAGGTGAAAGTGTAACAGTGCAGTTTGTCAAAACAGACACCGGCAGGCCTGATGACCTTTGGGAACACATAAATTTGGACTATCGGTAATGCCACAATGTGCACACAAATACTGGTGATACAAGGTTTCGAATGCGACTGTTACCACTATAGCCAAGGGCAGTCACTGACATTTGTTGACACTTGTTGACATTTGTTCTCAAGCTTTGACAGCAGGATCACGTTAAGGAAAGAATTCTGTAGTGGACTGCACTAATTTTCAAGCGTGTCTTGAAAAAAGTTCTCCTGCAAAATTAAAAAGGGGAGGGTGTTAATTTGAAGGGTTTTGTCTAACCTGGGTTGAATGCCTGTCTTCATTTCCCCTGTGAGGATGTGCTCCAGTCCAATGTCAACCCCCCTCATGCTTAAAATAACGCAGTGGACATATTTGATGTTAAACCCCAAACTGGTACAAATACATGTATGTATTGGCTTCTATGCCAGCATATTAGCTACTGAACATGGGCAATGAGTGTTTAAGGAATTCCAACTTTTTACAGCAAACAGATCTTCAATGTGACATTACTACTGTGTGTTTATATTCACAAGACAGATTTCCTAAGCAATTTCAGAATTTCTTGTTTCCTACGATCACAAAAAGCAAATGGAGGGAAAGAGTTCCATAACTTAAATGGATGGACATTACTAACTTTCCCCTGCAATTGTTTTATCAGCAATCAGGAAGCGAAAACATGTCCTAAACAGCTTGTTCTTATGCGATACAAGTTTCAAAGCTTACTAAGAAGCTACTACCAAGCTTGGAGGGATTAATGGGCCAATGATTTTTTTTTAAATGGGCAAAGCTAGAATTATGACTTGCATGTCAAAAGACCAGTCTCATTGTCATACAAAGTAAGGCTTGTATATCATTGTACACGTCTCAAGTGAAGACTGTGTAGGCCTAACTGCAAGGTTTATACACATCTGGAAAAGGAATGCGCATGCATGAAACTCTTTCCAAATTGAGTCGGTACTTGGTGTACTATACAACGGAGACCCCTTAACCCCAGAAGGTGCGGATGAGGGGCACAACTCAGTGCCTTGTGCTTCTGTGTCTACATTCAACAAGGAGTCAATGCTACCATTGCTGCACATGGTAGAGCCAGGGGATCAGTTAAAACCTGATGAAGCATCCAAGTTTGGACAACTGCTCAAGAAGTATAGTACAGTATTCTCCCTGAAGGATGGTGACCTAGACTACACCAAGACAAGCATCGCATTGATACAGGTGACACTCCTCCGATTAGACAGAGATACTGGTCCCTTCCACCATCACAATAACAAGAAGTCGGAGCACACATCAAAGATCTGCTGGAGAAAGGAGTAATTTGAGAGAGTGCAAGCCCTTAGGCTTCTCCTATTGTAGTGGTGCGGGAAAAAAGACCAGTCGATACGCTTACGTGTAAACTACCATAGACTTAACAGTGCGACCGTAAAGAGTGCCTTCCCATTGCCACGCATCAACGAGTCTTTGCAGGTCCTTGGTAATGCAAAATACTTCAGTGTCATGGATCTCACTTTGGGTTTCTACCAGGTGGCCATGGAAGAGGGTGACATCCCCGAGACAGCGTTCACAATCCTCTTTGGACTCTGGGAGTACACCCACATGCCCTTTGGATTATGTAATGGTCCTGCTACATTCCAGAGGTTGATGCGATATTTTGGTGATGAAGCCTTGCAGAGTCTGCTGATATACCTGAACGCCACCTGTGGACCTGCAGAACTTCCGCCAGTCCTAACACATCAAATCATGGACCATTTACCCAGGGATGTGCAACTTAAGCTCAGAGCTGGTTCAGTGCGTGTTATGGCTG